TCTTCTTTGGAACTTGTTATGTATCTTTGGTTTAAAGATTTCCTTATAACTTAAATTCTGGAAACTCTTATTCATTGTCTTCTCAAATATTAGTGCCCTGTCTCCCATTCTTTCTCTTCTCTCTTCCAAAATGCCTGTTAATAAGTTACATACTCTCATTTTACACTCCAGGTTTCTTAATCCTTATTTTCCTTCTCTTTATTGTTCTAGGCTGCTTTTTAGTTGTTTTCTCTGGATATATGTTCTAGTTCTTTCTCTTGTCTTGAGTTTTAAACATTTTTTTCATTTGAAGAGTTTTATTTGGTTCCTTGAAAAATCTGCATACCTCACCCCAGCCACTGCTTGCATACTGCCCTGTTTTTAAAAATTATGATCTCTCTTCATTTTTCATCTGTGTACTACAGATTATTCTATTACAGGGCTAGTCAAATACTGAGCTGTGGGCCACATCTGGCCCATGACTTCTGTTTGTATAGCTAATGAGCTAAGAATTATTTTTTAAATTTTTAAAGGATTGTTGCAAAAATAAAAGAAGAAGAATATCTGACAGAGTCAAATATAGCCTGCAAAACCAAAAATATTTACTTTATCTTTTTTTACTGAAAACGTTCATCAAACTCTGTTCTATTATCACTTCTTGGTTTGATAATCGTGTTTTTTGTGCCTACTCATTCCATTTTAAAAGTGTGTGTGTGTGTGTGTATGGTTTGTAATTTTTTATTGTGAATTTATCTTCATTGTGGGTTGTGAAAGGTTAAGGATCCCCATAAGAGAAGAAGTGTAATATACTTCTGAAGTCTTTGGGTGTGGGGCATACTGGAGTCTCAGCAACAGGAAGCACACTGGGAAAGAGTGAGCTGAGACTGAGCTAAGGGTTGGGATCAACAGGAGATGAGCTGGTCATAGAGACTGGCTCTCAGCAGGCTGTGAGAATATCTAGATTTGCTGCTGACTCCACGGTTCTCATCTGAATCCCTAAGGTTGGTCTATAGGATACACAGTCAGAGCACTGGCATCTGGGCTGGTCACAGTGACAGTTGACTGTGTACTCAGTAGGCAGGGAGAGGTCCACAGCACTTTTGGGGAGATCTGACAATATACAGCACCATGCCTGCCAACTACTCTGTCCTCTGGGCCTAGCACTAAGTAGGTGCTCAGTAGCAATCTGGTGAGTCAATGAATGGGGGAAGAAATGAATATTAAGTCCACATTTAGGGGACTGTTAAGTACCAGCACTTATCTGCTGCCAACCTTTGCCCTAGAGTACTAACCAGATAGGAAGAATCTGGAGAGATACTTCTGGTAGTTGTTTTATAGATTCTATTGGGATTTTCTACGTAAACAATGATATCATCTGCAATTAGAGGTAGTTTTGTTTCTTTTTTTCTGATCTTTCTGCATTTTATTTCTTTTTCTTGCCTTATTGTAATGGCTTGAACTGCCAGTATATTATTGAATAGAAGTAATAAAAGCAGACATCATTGTCATGTTCCTGATCTTAGGGAGAAACAATTCAGTTTTTCACCATTAAGTATGATGTTAACTGTAGTATTTTTGCAGATACTCTTTATTTCTAGAAATTGATAGTTGAATTTAGAGGCTTGATCAGATGCAGGTGTAATTTTTTTTGGTGTGGAGCAAGACTACAAAGGTGTAATTTTATCAAGAGAGACAGAATATCTGGTTGAATCTTTTTGTGATATTAGCAGCCATTGATGATTTGCCTGTATCAATTATTACGTTATAGGTTACAAATTGTTATATTCTAGTTCTATTAATTTCTTCTTCATTTTATTAGCTGGGATACTTCAATGGAGAAAATTTTCTTTCACAAACTATTTGGTTACCTTCTGTACAATTTCTATAGGAAGGACGGAGAAATGCTTAGTTGTTTTCTTTAATTTATCAGTTTTCACAGTAGTGAAATGGTTCTATAGCATCTTCAAAAGGTGACAGATGCTTTTTAAAACATAAGTTATGAATTCACTTATGTGTTTCAATCCATTCAGTTGTCATTCTTATTGATGGTAAATAAATGTGTACTTTTTAAAGTTCTTTTGAAACTTATTTATCACTTTTCCTCAAGGGATGTTGTTAGGTCGTCATTCTGTATACAGTCATGTTTTCTGCTAAGATCTGAGAATATAAATACACTCTTCCTTTCATGAGTAAGGACAAATGGAGGATGTAATGAAAGACTTATTTCTAATATCTGCGAATAAAAAATGGAACTGTTTGCCTTTGAATCACACTTCAGCTATATGGCAGTATATTCTAAGAAACTTTGGAATTTTGTGGGTAAAACCACTGAAGTCAAACTTTCTTTTGATTGGAACCTGCAAAGTCTTTGGTGTCGAGGCTTTTATGTTAGAGGTGATATATGGCAGAATGATATATGTCAGAATAGAAGTCATAATTTTAAAAGTTCCTTGTAAAAATCAATCATTGGAAAACTCTGTATATTCTTGTATAACAACAGAAGAAAAAGTCTCTGACACATATTGTGTATTTTTTATGTAATGTTAACTTCATGTGGTTTAGCTGTTTGACTTGAGGCATGTGTACATAACCTTCTGAACACTCATTTAGCTTATAATATGCCAATTTCCTAACAATTATTATTGTTCTAAAGTATAACATTTCACTATTCGACATCAAATATGTACACAAAGGGAATTAAAATTTATGGAGTTTCATGAACTTAGCAGTGTCTTTACATAATAAGTGTCAAAATTGGTTTCTTTTCTGTTAGCTTTATTGTTGTTTTTTTCTGATCATAAAAATAATGTTGCAAAAATTTAACAAAATAGTGATCACTGTAATCCTGCCCATGAAGTTACATATTAAATTATATGTCTAGATCTTCCTCTAAGTGTAGATACTCACAAAGAGATATTTAGATCTTGGAGAATGTTTACATTTATACTTTACCAAAAAAATAAAGGGAAGTTATTTCTGGCAGAACATCAGGTGATTTAAAAAAAAGTTTGAAACTCTTTGAATGGATTGTATTTTTGGCAAAGAGTGTATATTTTTTTGTATGTGTATACATAATATACACAGATGTGAATATGCGTGTGTGCATGTATATATAGAGGGTGGGCAGAGGAAGGGCAGGAAAGAGGAGAGGGAAGGCAAGGTCTACATATGAAGAGAAAATTTCTGAAATGAAAGGCACCAACATCATTTAACAATTACAGATAATATTTTTTAGGGAGATTTGTTGTTAGTACCTAATGTCTGTCGTAATACATACTAGCCAAACAGAGAACTGTGTATCATATCAGTTTGTGTTGGGTTAGGTTTCATGAATTTAAGAATTTTTAGGCATTATTTAAAAGAGGTTGTTTCATTTGATAATCTTAGCCCACATTTTTGGCACTCTTTTTGATTACTAAGAACTTTCCCTCTCCGTTTACCAGTATAGTGTGTGTGTGAGCATGCACATATCTGTGTGCAGATTAATGACATGAAAAAAATGTTTCTTTGTCCCTGGTCCTGTTAGGGAATCTGAGTGGATCCTGTAGATGCTCTTTCTTTTGCCATGATTTTTTTTTTTTTGAAAGATTAGCCCTAAGCTAACATCTGCTGCCAATCCTCCTCTTTTTGCTGAGGAAGAGTGGCCCTGAGCTAACATCTGTGCCCATCTTCCTCCACTTTATATTTGAGATGCCTGCCACAGCATGGCTTGCAGAGTGGTGCCATGTCCGCACCCAGGATCGGAACCAGCAAACCCTGGGCCACTGAAGCAGAACATGGGAACTTAACCGCTGTGCCACCGGGCCAGCCCCTGCCGTGATTTTTTTGACTGTAGAGCTGAGTGATACTTCTCCTTTAGTCTCAGTAGATGCTTAGATTATTTGATACCCTTTACCTGTTATGTGAAATAACAGAGGACTTCATTTTCTAATAAACTAGCAATACCTTTGGCAAGAATCTCTTTTTGTTTAAGAGACAGGAAGCAGAATTTCAATTGGAGGAGGAATCATTTTTAATGGAAAAATGTTTTTATATAAAAGATACCTTGTAAAGGTCTTCTGTTCTCATTTGGGTAAGAGGACACTGACATTTTAATTAATTAAAATGGTTTTATATATAAAAAGCATTTCAACTGGCGTTTAGTATTTTAAAAGTAGACTTAACCCCTCTAATGTTTGTCAAAGTAGCTTTTTTATATTTTGTATTTCTAAGAAAAAATCAGGCTCTTCCTTCAGAAATCTTTTATTTGAACTTAGCTTATAAATGAAATTTCTTTCACTTCTACTTTTGCAGGCAGTTTCTACTTTTAACAGGTAGAAACTGTAGTGGAATTCTAGGCAGTGCCTCCCACTGTCACTGTGCCTACCCTTTCTTAGTGTGTCTGATGTTCCAAGTTCACCTCAGGGGGTTGAAAATGCACTCTTTCTTCAGAGCTACAGAGAATTTTGACTCCTGAAAGCTATGTAAATTACTGTAAGAGGTGAGAAAGGTGCTATTTTATCAAGTCCACTTTACAGCTGTTGATGTATGGTAGGCATTGCAATGAAAAGTATGTAGGGGAGATTCAGGTTGCCCTTGGCTGCCTATGTTTCTCCTATGTTCTCAGGTGTGTGGGGTGCCAGAGGGAAAATGGGGGACTAAGGCCAACTGAATATGAACAAATAGTTATAAAACAGAATTTTTTGTAGTTACCTAACAATGGAAATGAGACAGAACTCTAGGAGGTTCCTAGGTAGAGAATCTAAATTACTGTATTTTGTAAATAATTCCTGTGAAAAAGGGGTTTTATTTTATTTTTCTGTTTCCTTTTGAGATTAGACAGTCACGTTTCTTTAGTTTCTGCCAAATCTTACTACTAAAATTACTAGATTGCTCATAGAAATCATTTCATCCATCACTGAATTATTCTCCAGCACACCTACTTCTTAAGTGGTGTGTAAGGGTATTTTAATGCTAGTAAGACAAGAAGGATGTTTAGTACTGCTTTTCCTAATCCGTTCTTGGTTTCCTTGGATTTCTAGGATGTGGAGAGCATCTTGTGCGCACTATATTGGCTAGAGAATGTTCACATGCTTTACAAGCTGAAGATGCTCACCAAGCTCTGTTGGAGACTATGCAAAACAAGTTTATCAGTAAGTATAACATAAAGAAAATTATTTCCTTCTAAATATAGATCATTTCAGTGAACTGTAAGCTCCATGAGTCAGGTACCACATTTGTATCACTACACCTGGGTTCCAGGGTCTAGGATGGACTTAGACTCTCAATTAATATTGGTCATGAAAAGAAATTCCATCAAAATACCTACAACAGCATGAAATTTGCCATATAACTAATCTAATGCCCAAGCTGTGAGACATTGTCTAGGACTGGAGTGACATGCAGTAGAATAAAATTGTACTAAAACAAAATTCAAGGGACTACCTCCTTTGAAAGTTTTTTGTAATACAGTTTGACTCTTTTTTTTAAAGTCAGTGTTGTATTCACGAATCCAGTGCTGCTATATACACTTGTATGGGGTTGAGTTGATATCCTACCTGGGCTCCATTTGCCAAGCCATGTAACCTGATGTGAGGCTGCATCTGTTTGGAGGAAAGGATGCCTTTTCTAATCTGTAGAAAGGTTTTGTATAGTCTGATAGTGGTCCTATACATGACTATTACTTTGGGTTAAAACTATTTGCCTTAGTCTGGTTTTCCCATCATTTAACATTGAGCTTATTGCTATGGAAAAGATTTGTGAAGTTGTATGAGAAATATAAAGCATAGGTAAAAATAAGTTAGGTTAATAAGCCATGAACACACAAATTAGAGAAAGAGTATCACAGGATTAATCTGGGGGCATAACTCCAGTTAGAGAATTATACTGGATATAATGAGGTGCTAATTATGTGGTGAGGACGACACAGACAAAAATGTAGGAAGAAATCACCACTAAAAGGACTCATGGACGACAGGCTCTTAGAACTGGCCCCGGAAGGCTCTGGGATAAGTGGGGAAAGGAGGAGAAGAAAGAGCATGAACACAGACATGACAGTGGAATTAGGCATGGCAAGGGCTAGACACATGCATGACTCTTACCTGGAGGGAAGTATTCCTGATGTGCATTGGGGCTCGATTGGCCAAGTGAGGCCAGGTCACAGAAGGTCTTAGAATCTCAGTGTAAGAGTTCATATTTGATCTGATAGAAAGGAAAGAACCCTTACATGTTCTTAAATTGACAGATAAATTAATGTTTTGGGGGAAAGTTTATAGAGTAGATCTAGGCTTGTCCAAGACCATCTCTATAGAAGAGAGACATTAGGGGCTGGGAATGGTCCAGGCCATGGAAAGGAAATGGTGATTTTGAGGGAGGCATCAGTGGAGAAAATGGAAATATTGGTAGATTTTGAGACTAGGAGGCTGTAGCCCTCTGGATCCAATCAAGAAATAGAAACCATACATTAGGTTAATCAGGGGTGGTTTAATATAGGGAATTGTTAACTACAATGGAAAAGTAACTTTAAGATATGAGGAAACTCTATGTGGTACTCTAGAGCTAAGAGAGAGTATCCAAGGAAGGACATACTTGGAAGGGGCTCAGACCCTGAGGACCATATAGCCTGGGAGAGTCCTTTCACAAAGGAATGGAGCACTCCAAAGAAGTAGGGGTGTACAGAGTAGTTATATACCATCAAAGAGCATGTATCATATATGGTTGGAATGTCCCTTTACCGTAGTCATGAGATTGCTTTGCCAGCACAGCAGTTCGGTGAACACAGCAGGTCTGTAGTCGCAAGGTGGGTGGTCATAAGGTGAGTGTAGCAGATCAGCAATCAATCCTTAGTTTAGGGAGAGATGCTTATCCTTAAGGAAATGCTGGGGGGAGTTACATCCTTTTCTTTAAGGGCATTGTTCTTTGGGACATAGTAAATACTTAAAGCAGATATACAATGCATGCTCAATGACCATGTCAGCCCCTTTTGGAAAAACAAGTTCAGTCAAATTGGTTTTACACCAAATGGCTTCCTCATATACTCCAGTATATCCTATTACTTGTCATTTATTTATCATCTAGAAAAACAATATCCTGGGCATTAGGACAGCTGGGTTCTGCTCTCAACTCTGTGTCTGACTCACTGGATGTAGCAAGTTACTTAAGCTGTTGTACTTAACTAGCAAACAAACAGACAAAATGAGAATGTTAGACAAGAGACAGTTCTAAGTTTCTTCACTATGCTAAGTTCTATGAATCTGTACTGAACTCAACCTGTAAATTTGAAGTTCTTTTTAATCAGGTGATGTGGAAATGGGATTAGAAAATGAAAAATTTCAGGAACCACAGATGATATTTACAAAGTAGTTAGAATGAAAGAAACTGGACTAAGACTAATTGGCCGGGACTAAGAGCGAGGAAGTTGGGGTCTTTCCTCTGTTAGTGCACTGGTGGTAAACTTAGTTGTCTGTTTTAGGACCAGTCTCCTTGTTCTCAGTTTCCTCCTGTGTAAAATGAGGGGGCAGATCTGGATGATCCCTGAAGTCCCTTCTAGCTCCAGAATTCTATTTGATCTTGGTTTAGTTCACAGGCTAATCTGAACTATTTGTGTGAAAGTACAGTTATAAATCAAATTAATTTTTAATTGAAACTATAAATTAGAACTGTAAATGGTGGATCTCAGGTTCCTATTTGAAATGATTTGGTTGAAATCCTTTCTGGTGGTGACTGAGGTAAGCTATCAACCACTTCTTTGGTTTTGTGGAAAGACATCACCATATTTTTCCTTTCTTGCTTCCTTTGTTTTTTCTTTAGAAAAAGATTTCCGTACATAATATATCTAGAGATTCTCATTGCAGTGTATACATCAAAAAATTTTATATAATCATCAAAACAAATATCCCCTTTCCGTTTACTACAAGTCCCATTTCTCTTTCCAGAAAGAACCATTGCTGACAATTTGATTGGTGTCTTTATAGTCTCATTCCATCTATGTCTTTATCACTCACCATTTTAAACAATTATATAGAAGAAGATTTCTAATATATTGTTTTGCAACATACTTTTCACTTAATGTATCTTGGTTCTCCTAATACGTCAGTCTATATAGATTTATAGCTGGTATTCCATGGTTCCATAATTTATTCATTCCCCTACTGAGAGAGATTCAAGTTGTCTTTAATTTTTGTCTATATTATTTTACCATACGTGAATGCATATTTCTCTACACTCTGATTGAGTCTTTTGTATGATGCCATTTTTTCTCCTTTTGTAGCATATCAATTATACGTCTTTTAAAAAAAAATTTTGGTGGTTGCCATAGAGTTTGAAATATATGTTAACAACTAATCTAAGTACACTTTCAAATAATACTATACCACTTCACGGGTAGTTCAAGTACCTTATAGTAAAAAATATTCCTAATTCCTCCCTCTCATCCCTTATGTCATTGGATGCATATGTAAGCATATATATGTATATATACACACACACAAAATTAAATATATGTTGCTGTTATTATTTTGAAAAAATTATCTGTTAGATCTGTTAAGAATAAGAAAAATAAAAGCTTATTTGCCTTCACTTATTCCCCCTCTAATGATCTTCCTTTCTTTATGTAGATCCACGTTTCTGGCTTGTATCAATTTCTTTCTTTAAAAGAATTTCTTTTAACATTTCTTGCAAGTCAGATCTACTGGCAACAAATTCGTTCAATATTTGTTTATCTGACAAAGTCTTTATTTCTCCTTCACTTTTGGAAGATAATTTTGCAGGCTATGGCATTCAAGTTTGGTGGTTTTTTCTCTTGACATTTTAAATATTTTATTTTACTCTCTTCTTGGTTCCATGATTTCTGAGGAGAAGTCAGATGTAATTCTTATCTTTGCTTCTCTATGGGTAAGGTGTTTTTTCCCTCTGGCTTCTTTCAAGATTTTTTTTTTTTTATTTTTTATTTTCTACACTTTGAGTGTGATTTGCCTGGCTCTAGTTTTTTGGGCATTTATCTTGCCTAGTGTTCTCTGAGCTCCCTGGATCTGTGGTTTCATTTCGGACATTAATTTGGAGAAACTCTCAGTCTTTATTGCTTCAAATATTTCTTCTGTTCCTTTCCCTCTTCTTTTGGTATTCCCATTATGTTTATGTTACACCTTTTGTAGTTGTCCCTCAGTTCTTAAATATTCTGTTCAGGTTTTTTTGGTTTTTTTCCAGTCATTTTCTCGTTCCTCTTTCAGAAGGTTTTAGAAGTTTCTATTAAGATATCCTCAAGCTCAGAGATTCTTTTCTCAGGCATGTTCAGTCAACTAATCAGCCCATCAAAAGAATTCTTCATTTCCTTTACAATGTTTTTGATCTCTAGCATTTCTTTTTCATTCTTTCTTAGAATTTCCATCTCTCTGCTTACATTATCCATCTGTTCTTGATGTTGTCTACTTTTTCCGTTAAAGCCCTAAGGGTATTAAACATAGTTGTTTTAAATTCCCTGTCTGACAATTCCAACATTTCTGTCATATCTGAATCTGGTTTTTGATGCTTATTCTGTCTCTTCAAACTGGGTTTTTTGCTTCTTAGTATGCCTTGTAAGTTTTTCTTGATAGCTGGATATGATGTACTGGGTAAAAGGAACTGTGGTAAATAGGCCTTAGTAATGTGGTGGTGAGGTGTTGGGGAGGGGAAGCATTATATAGTCCTATGATTGGGTCTCAGTTTTTTAGTGAGCCTGTGCCTCTGGACTATGAACTTCTCAAGTGCCTCTGTGTTTCATGGCCATTCCTTTCCCTCATGTGGAAGGTTAGAGCTGGCTAGAATTGACTATTTCCCAAAGAGGTTAAGCTCTGGTGAAACCCCAGCAGTTTAGGCTCTAGTAAAATAGTTTCTCCTGAGGGCAGACCTGTTAACAAGAACAGAATGCTCTGTCGTATTTAGAAATGATTCCTTTTCCTCTCCCCCTACTGGAAGCATGGGGGAGTTTTTCTCCAGTCTTTACTGTGAGAACTTGGTAGAGCTCCGGGAGGTAAAACTCACAAAAGTCCACTGAGATTCCAGCAGCTCTTCAGTTACAGGTCTAGTTTTCCTCCCCAGCACTATTTCCTGCGAAGGTTTCTGCTCATGGGTTAATGCTCTGGTAAGTTGTGATTCTCTGTATCTAACTCTCTCTCTC